TCTACAGTGAAACCTTCTGGACCTGGGCTTTTCTTTGCTGGGAGATCTTTAATCACTGATTCAATCTCTGCCTTGGGTATAGGTTGATTCAGGTATTCTGTTGCCTCTTGGCTAAGTTTTGGTAGGTGGTGGGGGGTCCAAGAACCTTGCTATTTTCAGGTGGTCTTCTGAGTTGTTGGAGTACACTAGAATTTATTTTTAAAAGATATTTAAAAATTATTTTCCATGATACAATTTTGTAGGAATAAGGGAAATGGTAAGGAAAGTGGTGATGAGGTTAATGTCTGCATAGGAAAGGAGCCAACCAGCCTCCCCTTTCTCAAGTTGAGCATAGTAGTAGAAGGTGGTGTCTTTCCCAGGAAAGGTACATGGGGACATTTTATCTCGTGAATAAAATCGTGGCCTGATAAAGACAAAATGGTTAGGAATAGGATTAGAAAAACATAGCTGAAAACCCATGGTCTAATGACTTAATCTCATGAAAGCTCAGTTTTGTTGTGTGAAGCTGTGCCCATCTTGCTGTCCAGCTGGGGATGGGTCAGGAGTTGGAAGGCTGTCATGTGATGAAACAGATGAGATCCTCCTCGTGCTGGATCTGTTCTCCTTTCAGCTGTTCTAGAGCAGCCTGTGACCAGTGACTGAGTACTGTTTTGCAATATTTAAAAAATCATTAGCAATCACATTCTTTTACAGTATTTTTATTTAAGAAAATCTTTCTTTGGTGAAAAGATATTTCTGCCTGAGATACTGAGGTTTACTTTCATTTTCACTTACTCAGCTATTGCCAGTCTACCTTTTTGTCTTCTGTAATTCTCCCTATTTCTGTATTTTTTAATTGTATAATTTTTCTTGAGATAAATTAGGTGACATTGATTTTTTTCTTTTTCTTTTTTTTTAAAGATTTATTTTTATTCTTATTATTATTTTTTTAATTGGAAAGGCGGATATACAAAGAGGAGGAGAGACAGAGAGGAAGATCTTCCGTCCGATGATTCACTCCCCAAGTGAGCGCAACGGCCGATACTATGCCGATCCGAAGCCAGGAGCCTCTTCCGGGTCTCCCACGCGGGTGCAGGGTCCCAAAGCTTTGGGCTGTCCTTGACTGCTTTCCCGGGCCACAGGCAGGGAGCTGGAAGGGAAGCGGGGCTGTCGGGATTAGAACCGGCGCCCATATGGGATCCCGGGTGTGCAAGGCGAGGACCTTAACCACTTGCACCACCTCGCCGGGCCCATGACATTGATTTTTACAGAGAATACAACATTAACCCTTATGATTTCCATTTGGTCTTCTAACTCCTTTTAACCCACTGTGATTCTACCACCACTCCTGGAAATCTTTATTAATATATTTGATTCATATATACTTAAAGAAGAATTGGGATTGCACCAGGAATTTGTATGGCTTTTTGTAGCTTTCTAGATAAGTTTAGTTTCTTAACTTAGTGCATAAGGTTGCCAGTTTTCTGTCCACATGTTTTTCAGATTCTTTTTTCTTCTTCAGGCAATCTGAACTATTTACACTTCCTTAGAATAGACTGTCCTCTTTTCTGCCTTTGACTTTTCCACATGTTTGCCTAACTGCTTTATAGCTATTTTTGTAGCTATAACCTGGGTACCAGTTTTCTTTATATCTTGCCTTTTTTAATTGAAGTTTTATTTTATTTTTATTTGAAGAACAGGGATACACAGAAAAAGGAGAGACAGATCATTTTCACTCTTCTGCTGGCAGTTAGTGGTTGGAGTGATTTGAATCCAGGAACTTCTAGGTCATCCATGTGGATGCAGGGCTTCAAGGCCTTGGAACATCTTCGTTGCTTTCCTAGGTCATAAGCAGGTAGCTTGATTGGAAGTGGAGCAGCCGGGACATGAATTGGCATTTGTGTGAGTTACCAGCACCTCAGGTGGAGGGTTAGCCTACTGTGACATGGCACCAGCCCTCATCTCATCTTCTTTAAGATGTTTGTCTTACATTGTATCTAGGCAGCTCATGTAGCTAATGCATCCCAGAGTTCCATTTTCCTTTTGGATGCTGTTGGTGGTACACTCCTGCCTTATTATTGGTGTTTGGAGCCCTGGGACACAGTGAAGTTGTGGGAACACTGCTGTCACAGCTTGAGCAGTGGTTCAGATTTAACTGGGGAAAAGACATTATTTCTTTATTTCCCCATTTCTTGCTTTTTCACCGAAGCACCACAGGTATGTCTAGACCAGACTTCAGCCATGAGTTCAACTAAATAAAGGGGATTAAAATCTAGTATAGAAACACTTGAAATCAAGTTGAAACATAGTTTTCCACAAGCCAAGGGAAAGCAAGCAAGAAACTGAGTCCTTTGGAGAGTGGCTCCTGGCTGTAGTCTGCAGATGTGCCTCTGAGTGCCCCTTCCTAACTTTTTACCTTGGGAAACTCCCATCTTCAGTCTCAGGGTTTCTTTTCCTCAGTGGCACATTTTTACAAGTTTGAATGTGGCTGCTGTTAACATCATCCATTGCAGCCTTTGACGCCATGTCTTGTAGCATGTTCAGAAGTTGGATTTGCTTTTAAGTCTTCCTACCAATATCAATGTTAGAGATGCTTTTTGATTATTCTTATCATTCTGTGACAGTGCTTCCATCACAAGCATACACTCAGCACAAACCTCCCTAAAGATCAATTACATTTTACATGTATTAAATCACAGTTGATAAAGAGGAGTATTTCTAAAATATCCCCAAGGCACTATCTTACAATAATGACAGCATTTCACTGTATGATACAGATTAGTAGGATAATATTTCTGTTTCTGAATTGCCCTGTTATTCAAATTGAACCTTCATGACCCACTGTTTTCTCAACTTAATGTTTTGTTTATTACTATAATTTTAAAGATTTATTTTATATATTTGAAAGCAGAGTTAGAGAGAGAGGCAGAGACAGACAGATCTTGTATCTGCTGTTGGTTCACTCCCTGAAATGTTTGCAATGACCTGGGCTAGGTGAAGCCAAAGCAAGAGGCAGGAGCTCTGTCCAAGTGTTTCAAGTGGGTTATGGGAGTACAGACACTTGACCACTTGGACTGCTTTCCTGGAAACATTAGCAGGGAGTTGGAATGGGAGTGGAGCAGCTTGAGCCTGAACCAGTACCTTTGTAGAATGGTTGCATTGCAGGCAGTAGCTTAAATTGCTGTGCCACAATGCTGGCCATCTGTTTATTGTTTTTGAGGTAACGTTTTAAATTTATATTGCAGTCAAAGGCATAATGCTCCACCAAATAAACAATTCAACAGATGAAAAGTAGAAAGACCCTTGTTCTGAAAAAATATATGAAAATTTTATACACCATAATTGAATGAAAAGATGTTTAGCTTCACTCACATACACTCAATCAGATAACAAAAGCTGTAGTTAGGTGTACATAATTAACAATTAACAAAGACTTAAACTTTGATCAAACATTATGTTTACAGGAAAACTGACCCATATGCATTGTTTTAATTTTGTTTGTATAATTTTAGTTTCCACATGTGATTGAAAATATTGACTTATTTTTTTTAAAGAAAAAGGTTCATGGTTAAATTGTGGCAACTCACATGGCAAATACTCCTGAAAGTCTACCTGAATGGATGGGGCCTATGGCCTAGCAGTTGCAGATGGTGATTCTCCTTTGGGAGAGCTTGTGTTTGATGTCTGGCTCTTGCTGCCTGCTTTTGCAGATCCCGAGGGGCAGCAGTGGTGTTCCAAGTAATTGCATCCCCACCAACTGACTGGGAAACATTGCTTGAATGTTTCACTATTGGCCTTGACTTAGCTCCATCATGGCTGTTTTGGGCATTTGCAGGTCGACCAGTAGACAAAAATGCTTTCTCTCTCTCTCTCTAATAATTTAAAAAATCTAATTGAATTTTTTAGGTCACCATTGTTTGTGAGGGTTATATTAAGACATTGCAAGGCAGTTATTGGCTGGCCTTCCTGTCAGTGGAGAAGGCTTTTGCTGTTCTTGTTCTATTGTTACATGTATCATTTTCACTTGTCCTTTAATTGTCATGTCTCATCCAAAAGCCTGTCAACATCATCTTGTTTAAGCATCTTTTGGTGTTCTTCTGGCAGTATGGCTTATCTTTATTATGACGTTATATCATAATAATCGATTTACTTGTCTGCTTTGCTAACACATAAAATTTAACAAGTGATAGTGTTTACTGAATGGCAAAAGAATAGCAAAGCAAATTGGAATCCATTATCTTCTAGAATTTATTCTTTACCATGGCAGTTCCTTCATGATTGGGCATAAGGTTTCATGGAGATGGCACTGTATTTTGTAGTGACTGCATTATAGCTTCTCCAGGTAAATTTCATTTTTGTTTCAAATTAGGTTTTCAGTTATAAGCAGCTTGATTATGCACAGAGAATCTGGGAGTTGCAAAGTCCAGCTCACGATCAGGACTTCCTCCTAACACCAGGATTGCACTGTGCTTAGCCTTCATTTGGGGAGTTAGGAAAGAAACTGAATTAAGAGGGTATGCTGTGAGTCAGTCCCTTCTTAGCTGTAAATGGCACATAATCAAATGTTATTTGATGTATCATTAACTTAACCCCTTGCTTGTTTTTGCGAAAGTCAAGTCTTTGTACTCATAGGAAAACCTCTGTTGGCAGTGTTATTTCTATTTATTAGCAGGAAGTAAAAGTTAGTGAGGAATGGAAGAGGAGAAATTGTGCAGAAAAAGCATGTTTTCTTTTCCTGCGCATGTGTATTTATGTACAAGTGTACAGGAAATTTATGAAGTACTCTTAAATGTATGTGTTCTGGTTCATGTGTAGCTTCTGTGTAAGAGGACTGAAAAATCAATGTGCACATTCAGATCGAAGCTGTTGGCTCACTGTTGCTCAGCTCTAATTTTTGCGTATTTTAGAACATGAATCTCCTGAAGAGGAAGTAGTAGTCAGCCAAGATTTGTTTTCTTTGTATAATGAGGAATTACTGAAGTGCTTTCTATTTCATCATAAATATTTAACCTCTCTTGCAGAAATTTCAAGAAATCGCAGAAAAAAATATGGAAAAATTGAACCGTCTTGAGAAGTCCCATGAACAGTTGGTTCTTGAAAACGCGCACTTCAAAAGCCTGTTATCAAAGACTCAGAGGGAGCAGAGCTCCTTGCTGGCAGCCTGTGCCCTGATGGCTGGGGCCCTGTATCCTCTTTATAGCCGCTCCTGTGCCTTATCTACACAGCGAGATTTTCTCCAGGAGCAGGCCAACACCTTTGAATCATTCAAATTGGAAATAAGAACACTAGCCCAGGCATTGTCCACCGTAGATGAAAAAAAACAAGAAGAAGCCAAGATGAAGAAAAAGCCATTCAAAGGGTCCATACGGCTGTTTCGGAAAGGTGCTATTGTGATTTTGGCAGCAAACAGACTCAAGATCCTGGGCCAGTCTTGTGCCTCTCTTTTTACCTGGATGGAGAGTTTCAAAGAAGGCATAGGCATTTTAGTGTGTACAGGAGAGCCCAAAGACAAACATAAATTTCCAAGTAAGATAGTTTATGCTTTTGAAGACCTTAAGTTGTTTGTAAGTGAAATACAATATGCATATGCTTGGCTACTCCACAAAAAACTTCAAAAAATTTTGTAACATGTCAAATCATGTGACATAGTCAAATGTAAACACATATGTGTATTTTGTAAATGTATCCTTGATGCTTTGTTGTGAACAGATTACAATATAGAGTAGCCAATATGTATTACTTCAGTATTTAACATTATATTTAAATAATCTTTTTTCAGTGAAAGGAAGCCTTTGTATAACATTTTTCCTAATTAAGTCAATCTAAAACTACCATATTTAAAATTATCAATACAATTTATTTTTATCTTATATGAGTCGGTTGAAAATAATGAGTTAAAAATCCAAAGAATTGTATGAAAATGAGCAAAATACATATTTTCCAATTAGTATTTGTTTTTGAATGCTTTGCTAGTCTGATGAAATAGTGGATTTGCTTTTTAAGCTTCAGAAAAGCAGACTATTAACTAAAGTAAATAAAACCAAAGGAAAAATTTTCTCTTTTTTTTTCCTTTGGTGTTAGTGAACCGTTATATATAAATTAGGTCAATCAAATCCAACATTTCTTGTAGATTTTTCTGTACTAGGGCAATTTTCTGCAAATGAGGTTTGATCCTTCTTAAATAGCTGACTACTGCTATGAATTTCAAATATGGCTTTTAGTAATTTTTGTAGCATTTCAGAAATGGATTTTTCTTGTATTTGTGCAGAACATCAAAGGGAGCAGCTACGCTGTTTACAGGCCCTCAGCTGGCTCACCAGTTCTGACCTTCTTGCTGCAATAATCAGTTCTATGGCTGAGTTACAAGAAGTCATTAGCAAAACAGGTACAGTTCCTTCTTTTATGTCCTTGCAAAATACAGTTAAAAGCAAATGTCCTGAAATTCTGCCGAGTACTAATTCAAATAAGGTATGTGGGAAGAAAATGTATTTGTTCTCTGTTTTATTCAGTCACAGAAAGATTATTAAATCTTCATTTAATGATGTAGTACATTAATGTGAGTTTTGATGGCTCATTTTGTCTTTGTGGGGGGAAATAAATGATATTTGCTGGAGAATAGAGCTAACTTTTCCCCTCTTTGTGCTGTAATATTTTTAGTAGAAAGCTCATCATTATGTATGTGGTGTCCTTCAGATGTTCTGGCCTTCCATCAGGTCTGTACATTTCAGAAGCTCAAGTAATAACTGAACCAGTAGAAAATTTCCTCCTCTTGTTTGGTGATGTTTTTATTTTTCCCAATTTATTTTACAGTTAATTTCTACCATGTGTGTAAAGCCACTTATTTTAACTCATTTATTATTATTATTACTGCTAGTATTATTATGATTATTTTATGATACAGTTCCATAGGCTCCTGGTATTTCCCTGACTCCCTCCCCAAATCACTTTTCCCCACACACTGATTTCCCCTGTATTATTACAATAGTATAGTTCTTCATAAATAGTCATAAGTCCATCATTGTGGGCATGGACAGTGGCAGAGATTCTAGATTCTATTGTCAAGATAAATTTAACAATTTCGTTGGGAGTCCATCTTTGATCTGGAGTAGAGATGCATACTGCATTGTATCCTCTCATTTATAATAGTTTCCATTACATAGTTACTATAGCTCACTTTAAATGAAAAGGCACAAAACAAAATCAACAACAGGAAGAAAAATAGAAATTCACAACACCATAAAGTTAAATAATGTGCTACTGAATGACTGATGTATTGCTGAAGAACTGAAAAAAAAATCTTCTTGAAGAAAATGATGCTACTGTATGATCTATGAATCAGTGAAGAATTTAATGAAAAAGTATTTTGAAAAAATGATACTAAAAATAAAAACATCAGATCCATGAGATATAGTTTCTACTGATTTTTGTTGGTGAAATGTATCTCTTCTAGACAACAAATAGATGGATTTTGTTTTTTGATCCAGTGTACTAATCTATGACGTTTGATTGATGGGTGTAAGCTGTTTACATGCAGAGTTAATATGAATAGGTGGTAATTTGGTCTTTTCATTATAGCAATGGGCTGTTTATTGATTTGGTCTTCTGTTGTTATTTTACTGTTCTTCCCACTTACCTTTAGTTTTGGTGGGTGCTATTTATTTTCTCTGTGAAGAGAACATCATTAAGTATCCTTTGTAGGGCAGGTCTGGAAGAGAAACATTCTTTCAGCTTTTCTTTACTGTGGAATAATATTATTTCATTTTCAAAGACAAAGGAAAGCTTTGCTGGGTATGTTAATCTGGGCTGACAATTTTTCCCTTTTACAATCTAGAATGTGTTGTTCCATTTTCTTCTGGCCTGTAGAGTTTCCTGTGAGAGCTCAGCTGTGATTCTGATTGCCAATCCTTTATATGTCAATTGATTTTTTTTTTCACGAGCACATTTAAGGATCTTTTCCTTATGTTTGATTGAAGAGAGGTTGATTATCATGTGTTGTGGTGAAGAGTTGGGAACTCCTGTTGGGCGTTCTGTACCCTTCCTGGATGTTGTTTTTGAATTCTTTCTCCAGATTAGGGAAGTTTTGTTATTTCATCGAATACATCTTTAAACCCAGCTTTTATATCTGTGCCATCTGGAACTCCTGTAACTCTTACATGGCCTTTTAATAGTGCCTCTTAATTCTTGAATACTCTTTTTTAGCTTGGCCCAGCTTCACTTCCAGCTTTTTGATTGTTTCACCATTGTGGCAATAAGTGTGTTCCACTTCTGAGATTCTTTCTTCTACTTCATTCATTCTATTATGTAGACTTTCCACTGAATGTTCATTTTGCTCCACTGTGTCTTTCATTTTTAATAGGTTGGCTTGAGTTTGTTTCAGTGTTGCTATTTCCTGTGTCACATACTTCTTGAATTCCTTGAACTCATGCCTGTGCTTTTCGTTGTTGATAAGAAGCTTTAGAATGAGTTTTCTGTATTTTGTGTCCCCCAATTCCTCAAAGTATTCCTCAGTTAACTCTGAGGTTGGCAAAGCTTTTGCTCCTTTACAGGGGAATCTTTAGTAATATTCATTGTGTCAATGTCTCTTTTGCTTTTGGTCATTGTACTTCTGGTTAGCAGATACTTTGCTTTAGGGCAGGTTTCTAAACTGTATTACCCACAGGTCTACAATTTGATTTTTCTTACTGTGTTTGGTACTTAGTTCTTTGTTTGCAGTCACTTGTGCCACTCCCTCCAGCAAGTTCTAGGTCTGGGCTCTTAGGTTAGATTTCCACCATGGTCTCCATAGGCCCTGGCTATGAAGAGATTGAAGGTATGACTTATAAAGAGATTATTTTTAGGTTTGTTATTGATGTTGTTAAGCACTTGTATGCTTAATGTATTGCCAAGTCTTAGCTCCTGGCTCACCACTCTCTATCTCTTATGATCCTGTGCTGTGGCTGCACTGTTGTCTGTACAACCTTTCTCCCACTTCCAGTTTGAGTAGTTCCCAGGATTTTGGATACACCAGATGTCCTAAATAGTTAGGTTGTTTTGGTGCTGATCTTGCTGGAACCTGCTTGTCATTAGGTCTGAGGATATCCTAGTCCGTTTTGATCTTTAGGGTGCCAAAGTCGGTATTATTTTCGATGTGGGACCAGTACAATGCACTGAGCTGGAAATGAGTTTGCTCCCAGCTCAGCACATGTGCATTCCCTTTGCCACACAGCACGAAATACTGCCTGATAGGCTACTCGTTGAGATCTGGTTCTGCTGGCTATGAGGTTTGGGAATTACCCGGACCTATTTTGGGTGGAACCTGTAGGATGCCACATTGTTGCAATGCACTGAACCAGAAATGAGTTTGCTCCAGGCTCAGTGCATGCGCAGTCCTGTCCTACAACTTTGTCTCTGTATCTAAAATGGCACCTAATGTGATTCTGGTGAGGGTTTGAGCTGTGAGATCCACCCGGTTACTGCACCACCTGTTTGGGATCTATCACTCTGTCTCTGCTCATGGTTGAATCAAACAAAGCTGCAGGATGGACAGTTCTTTGTTTGGGTCCACCTGCTGAGCTCCTGGTGACCTCCCCTTCCCACCTGGATGCTGTTGGGGCTCTGGCCACAAATGGAGTTCAGTTCACTTCTTATTGACTGCCACTGGGTTATCTGGTTGCTGCAACACCACACTGTTGTCTCCACTGCTTTCCCATGTCAGTCAGTCTCCTGGTGCCCTGTGCTGTATGCTTGTCTGCACCTCTTTTCTGAAATGTGCCTTCTCATCTTCACCCTGGCTATTGATTCTCTGTTTATACGTGTCCTTACCCTATGCTGCCATCTTGATTCTCTTTAAGTCATTTCTAAAGGCCCAAAATTCAAGTGTACTTTTTCATGACTCAGGTCATGAAAACTACCTTCTCTACACATGATGACATGTTGGTTAAGGTGTGTCATTGGACTAACTATGGTTATTTTATACACATTAGTAATAAAAACAGTATAATGGATTGTTGAGACATACTCAATTTTATAAGCATAAATAGATCATTTGAGATGCACTTTAGACAGTTCTTTAGACAATTATCTGCAAATAGAAATCAGTTGTTATGGTTTCAAATTTTTTTTTTTAACATTTACTAATTAATTTTTTCTGGCAGTGATTTCTGATGTATTGTCTGTCAGTTAAACAGATAACAATGGCTCTTAATTGTAAAGTAATCTGAATATCTTAAATTTTTATACATATGGTTCCTCTTTTTCATTAGTTATGTAACCTTTTTTAGTAGGAAACTGATAAAGAGATATTTTTAGGTTTGTTATTGATGTTATTAAGCACTTGTATACTTAATGTATTGCCAAGACTTAGTGTACTGGGTTTAGCGTCTGAAATAACCTAAAATATATTTTAAGAATGTTGATATTATAACTTCAAAGAAAATCATTTTCAGATAATTTAATAGTTTTAACATTAGTTTAATAGGGGATTCCTGTTGGACTTGTTTTTATGTGTGCATGTAAACATTTAAAATACTGTGACATCTTAAAAAAGGTTTAATCTACAATGTCAATTTATGTCATGCAGTTTTTCTGATCATCATGCTGTATGTAGTGTAGGGGATAAAAGAACAATATGTTGGTTGGTCTGGGCTTCTAGATGATATGCACATTATGAAAGGGGAAGGACAATCATGCCCAACTTTAGGAAGAGTTGAATCAAAGACAGGATGAGGTAATATAGGCATTACCCGCGGTAATAATCTACAGATGGTGCAGCTGAATGCAGATCAGTGGAAGGGAAGCTTTTAGAATGCAACTGGTCGTCTAGCTGGGCTTAGAACACAGATAACTTAGGAAGAAGGAGAGAAGCCATTCCTGTAAAGGACTTGGTTTAAGCAGGGATGCATGGATGGATTGTAAATATTAAAGATACAAGAATGGAAATCCACAAGTACCATGCCTGCTTTATCAACAGTGATTCATATGAGGATTTTTTTTTTAATATTGTGGTCATAATGTGTGTCATTGGCAAAGGGTCAGATTTTCAAGATTTTGTAGAACCAGTAATCCTTCAGACCACATTCTGAAAGAGGCCCCTTATATTTGTAGAGTTAAAAATCTTTACAGAATGGTTATTATGACCCCAATAAAATATGTGCATGTAAACCCTAGCAAGAAGGTAGACCAGGAGTGGCAGTGTTAAACATTTGCTTTTCTTAAGGAACCTTTGATTTCAGACTTGGCTATGCTTCTAACAATTCAAGGAAATAGCAGCTTTTAAAAACATTTTTTTAGACACTATGTTTATTTATTATTTATTATTTATTATTTTTAAAATTTATTTTTAACTTTTTTTTATTGATTACATTGCATTATGTGACACAGTTTTATTATCCAGATAAGTTCAACGGT